CTAGGCCTCCACTCAAGGTTACAAAGTTTCAATTACAGAAAGTAAACAAATCCAAACAGAAATGGCAGCAGCCATGAAGCAAGCAGAAGGCTTGGCTTTGCTCCAGGCTACAAAGTTTCAATTGTAGAATGTAAATAAATTCCAGATACCAGGACCTCCGCTTGGGTCACCAGGGGGCCATGGCTGGCCTGCAAACTACCACAGGCCCCTTGCTCAGGCCACACCATGCCCCAAGGGAACCCCCACTCTGATCTGGGACCCCCTTCAGGCAAACCAGCTGGCCCCTACCCATGCACCAGGCCTCCATGCTATCTAATAAAAGAGTAATATGCAGATTGACCATCACTCCAACACACAAGATGGCTGCCCCCATGTGGTCAAAGATCCTGCCCCCATGTGGACACAAGATAGCCACAGGATGGCCAGCAGGGGAGGGCAGTTGGGAGGCACCAGGTCTGCAAGGGAGGGCAGTTGAGAGGGACCAGGCCTGCAAGGAAGGGCAGTTGGAGGCAATCAACCCTGCAGGGGAGGTCAGTTAGCGGTGACCAGGCCAGTAGAGGATGGAAGTTGGGGGCAAACAGGGTTGCAGGGGAGCAGTTAGACATTAATCAGGCTGGCATGGGAGTGGTTAGGGGGTGACCAGGCTGGCAGACAGAAGCAGTTAGGGGCAATCAGGAAGGCATGGAAGTGAGCAGTTTGGAGCCAGCAGTCCTGGATTGTGAGAGGGATGTCCAACATCCCTCGAGGGGTCCCAGATTGGAGAGGGTGTAGGCTGGGCCGAGGGACACCCCCCCCTTCTGGCCCCGTGCACAAATTTTGTGCACCAAGCCTCTTGTATAGGATAAAAGGAACTGCTATAAAGAGGTTTTTAGTGGTGGTGAGGTGTGGGGGAGGGGAAGTGCTTTATCTATACTAATCAAAGGGTAATAAGCTAATGAGACTGGGAGACCAGACATCTTCTGACCATCTGACTTCCTTCCAGACAAAACCATGGTGGTGGGGGCTAAAGCAGAGGCGGTTAGGGGCGATCTGGCCAGTAAGGGGCGATCAGGCCAGCAGAGGAGGGCACTTGGAGGCCATGAAGCCGGCAGGGGAGGGCAGTTGGGGGTCATGAGGCCGACGAGGAAGGGCAGTTGGGGGCCATTAGGCTGGCAAGGGGAGTGGTTAGGCTATTAAGCCGGTAGGGAGGCAAGCGGTTAAGAGACAGTGGTCCTGGATTGCAAGACCTGTGGGATTGGGCCTAAACCCGCAGTCGAACATCCCCTGAGGGGTCCTGGATTGGAGAAGGTGCAGGCCGGGCTGAGTTCCCCCCACCTCCTGGTGCACATATTTTGTACTTTGGGTCTCCTAATAGCCCTATAATGAGGTCCGGTCTTAGTTAGCATGTGCCTCTAGACTGTGAACTCACAAGTATTTCGGTTTTATCCATCCCCCATAGGTGGCACAGAATGGCTCGTGTGGGTCAGAGTTGGGTATCTCCCTTCCCCAGGTCAGTTAGGCTCTGGTCATCTCCCAGCAGGTTAGGCTGTGGCTGACTAATCTCTCCTCAGGGCAGACCTTGTTAAGAAGAGCAGAGTGCTCTGGGTTTTTCAAGATTTTCTCTCCGCCCTGGTAGAAGCACAAGGGGACTTCTCCGATATTTATTGTGGAACCTGCTTGGGCTCCTGGAGGTAAAAATCACAAAAAGGTGAGAGACCCCTACAACTGGGTCCCCTGGAGTTTCTAACTCTCAGGCTTGTCCACATACATGTAGCCTCGAGCACTTGGTCAATCCCAGTGAATTTAAGAAGAATTGTTGATTTTCCAGTTTGTTAGGATGCAGTAATGATTTCTAAGCTCCTTACATGCAGAAGCAGAAACTGCCCGTTTTGCTATTGGTATAGTGGAAATTGGTAAAGCATTTATTAAAGCAGTCATAATCATCTACTAAAACTTCAGCTGCACATGCCCCTTGTCTTAGCATTTCCACCTTCGGACATACTAGTATGAGGAACAAAAATATAAGTACCAGAATATTTTTTGGCAGCAATATTTTTAATATGGGAATGAAATATATACTAGTATACTTAACACAATAAAATGCTATCCAGTAACTAAAAAGAAATAATGTAGCTCAGTATATCCTGACATGGAAAGAAGTCCAAGACATATTATGAAGTGAAAGGAAAAAAAAAAAAAGAAGTTTCATAATGTTATGTTTAAGATACAATTTTTGTTTAAAACTTAGTCAAAGTAAAAATGAAGGCATGCTTAGGAAAAATTTTGGAGGAACACATATCAGAAAAAACTATTGGTTGTCTTTAAGAACAAATTAATGACATTTGTGCTTTCTATGCTGCATATGTATTTTAAAATTAGGTAAAAATTCAAGAAAGAAAATGGTTGGGGATTGATAGAGCTAATTGAGAACAATGGAACAGAACTAATTATTCCTACATCAAGGCACAAGTGCAATAATAATCTATGACTAAATTTTTATATAGAGTCAGAATTCTTCTGTAATATTTTCTACATCAAGGCACAAGTGCAATAATAATCTCTGATCTAAATTTTAATTTATCTTCTGAGAATAGGTAAGGATAGGCCGAAATAAATAGAAATTTTAAATCTTTGTGTTTCTTTTGTTCTTTAGAAGCAGCCATAGATGACAAGGGTTCCAAACAGAAGTGTCTTACCAGTGAATGTTTACATATAGAGTTGTTATTTTTTTTTATTGTTAATCCTTTTAGCAAAATTTTCATCAAGAAAAATTTCCCCCTCTGCTGAAAAGCAGTTTCTTTGGTTCTGTGTGTCAAGATTAGTGGTTTGTTGTACCCAAGAGATGTTTATAATGGAATTTTGACAACATGTATCTCTTCCTTTAAAAAGCTGCTTGGCCAGTGTGGCTCGGTTGGTTGGGTGTTGTCCTGTACACCAAAGGGCTGCCAGTTCAATTCCCAGTTGGGGCACATACCTGGGTTACAGGTTCAGCTTCCAGTGGGGGACATGCAGGAGGCAGCTGGGATTGATGTTTCTCTCTCACATCCAAGTTTTTCTCTCTCCCTCTCCCTTGCTCTCACTAAAAATCAATAAAAAGTATTTTTAAAAGATCAATTTAAAAAGCTGACTAAGAATTAGATTAGTGGAGCAGCAATAACTGTGAAAACTGTTTGACTTCTGTTACAAAGTACTAGAGGCCTGGTACATGAAAATTCATGCACTGGACCGCGGGTCCCTTAGCCTAGCCTGCCCCCTCTCACAGTCCAGGAGCCCTCAGGAGTGGGAAGCAACCTGGCAATCAGGGGAAGGCGACACTCCCTTCATACCTCTGCTGCTGCCACTGCCAACAGCACAAGCCTTGGCTGGCCCTGGTTACCTGAGCCTTGGGTGGTCCTGGGTGGCTGGGCAGCCACCACCTGAGGCTTATCTGCACCTCGGGCTGGCCTTGGGCAGCTGGGGGGATCAGGGGACTGGGGGACTTGGGAGGCAGGCGCCCCTGTGGGGCTGAGTGACTGGGCACTGCAATCTTGTGGCTGTGGGCACTGCCATATTTGAGGGTGTGGCAGTCAATTAGCATATTCCCTCCTTATTGGTTGTGGATGCTGCTATTTTGTGAGGGCATGGCGGTCAATCAGCATATTTCCTCTTTATTAGATAGGATAGTTTAGGTCTACAGTTTTCCCGCTGGAATGACATCTGAGCATTCTGCAGGATGAATGAGTGTAGACTTCTGAATTACTTGTTCTGTTAACTTTCTAGTCTGACTTGTTTTCATTTTCTGCTTACATCCTATTTTGGGTTCCTGGACCCAATTCCAGTATGTGTGTAGTTGGGGAGAATCCCACACAACAAGCAATTCTCAGATACCAGCAGAGTATCAAAGAATTCAGCTCAATTCTGATGCTGTCTACTCAAAGGCAGCCTTGGATCCCACAGGTTAAGGGTCAGTCCTACAAGACTGCCCCCTCTTAGCCCACACTTTCAGACACAAGTACCATGTCCAGATTTTTACATGTATTTTTGACCAAAGATTCCCAAGACCCCGTCTTTGAGTTTGATAAATTTTCTAGAGTGGCTCATACAACTTTGAAATATTTTACTTACCAGATCACTGGTTTTATAAAAGAACGAGAGGCCCGATGCATGAAATTTGTGCAAGAGTAGGTCCTGCTTCTCCCGACTGCTGGCACCCGCTTCCCTGTGTCTCCCAGGACCCAGCTTCCCTCGTAGCCCTGGTTTTGTCTGGAAAGTGATCTGGAAGGACATCTGGTCTAATTAGCATATTATGCTTCTATTACTATAGATATAACATCCAGATGGAAGAGATGCATAGAGTAAGGACTGGGGAAAGGTATAGAGCTTCCATTTTCTCTCCAGGCACTCCATTCTCCCAAAATCTCCACCAACCTGGGAGCTCTCTAAACCCCGTCCCTAAGGGTTTTTATGAAGGTTTCATTACATAGGCATGACCATTAAATCATCAGCTATTCTCTTGCCCCTCTCTCATCCCCGGAGATTGGGAGTTGGCACTGAAAGTTCCATTCACATGAGTAACTCTATTAGCAACCAGCCCTTACTTAGGTGCTTTCCAAAAGTCACCTCATTAACATAAGAGGCATCTTTAAGCGCTCATCACCTAGAAAATCCCAAGGGTTTTAGGACTGTTGGCCAGAAACCATCAACAAAAACCAAATATATATGACCAAATATATATATATATATATATATATATATATATATATATATATATATATATATAGGCTGTCTCAAAAAATGAATATACACTTCAAATGATATTATAAAGTTAGTGTTTATTAACTGAAAAGGAGTGAAAATTAAGTGAGTTATCTGCTGTTAAAGTGTGTATGTGTTTCTGTGTGTACACTTATTTATTTATTATAAATCACAATATCATACATCTTAACATAGTTTTTCCCTATATATTCTCCATATATTGTTTTAAATGATTGATTTTATATAATGATTTGCTATTGCTTTATTCTCTATGAATTTCCAAACAGAAGTTCCAGAGGGGACTTGGGGGCCAAAAAGAAAAAGAAGAAACAGAAGAGAAAAAAGGAGAAACCAAATTCTGGAGGCACCAAGTCAGACTCTGCATCTGATTCCCAAGAGATTAAGATTCAACAGCCTTCAAAAGTGAGAGCCCTGTTTTATTTTAATCTGTGTAGTTCCTCATGCATTTGAGAGCATGTCTGTATAGCTCAGCCCACTGTTGGATCAGAGATGTAGTGAGGGTTTTGTTGTGACTACTGTGACAGTAGCCAGTGGGTACTTATAGCCTTCTTAAATCTGACGTCTGCAGCCAGATAACAGAGAGGGACATTTTTTGCTTTTGTGTGTACTAGGATACCACCTGCATATTTCTCAGCAAATTAGTATATAGATTATAATCATGGAACAAAGTCTCAGCTGTGTTTTTTTTTAAAGTTACACTTAATATTTGATAACTATTAGTACAGAAGATATTCACATTTTAATTTTTCTGGGTGTCTGTCTAATTATCTGAATAGCACAACATCATCTGGCAGCAGATTTCAGCGGGAGCAGCCACGGGTAAGTCTTATGTTGACTTTGAATCAGAACAGTCTTCAGTGGCCACTCTTAATTTCATTGCCACGGGTGGGAAATAGTGCCTAATGTGTTCCCTGAAGAAGCACCCATTTAAACCAAACCAGAAATTATCTGCCTGGGCACTGTGCCAGCAGATTGGTACATCTGGTGGTGCAGATGGCCGGCACCCTTTCTGGAGGGCCAGCCCCAGTCACCCTAGCTATGAATACAGGCCTTGTGTGCTGGGCCCAGCGAAACAGAGCCTTCTTGATGCAAGAAATTCTGCAAATAGAGGTAGAATTAGAAGTATAATGAAATAGTTATTTTGATGCAGGTAGTGTGTGTCATGGGAGGGACTCAGGAGGTGCCATGGGGAACCTGGATTCCATCCTGACCCATAGCGCTCAAGCTTGGCCTTTGCACAGAGTTCTGCCCCTCCTTAAGCCCATTTCCTCATCTGCAAAATGGGGATGATGCCTTCTCCCCAACTCACAGGGTTGTTATGAAGTTATTAGATTAAAGGCCTGGTGCACAGAATTCGTGCATGGCGGGGGGAAAGGGGAGTGTCCCTTAGCCCAGCCTGCAACCTTTCCAATCTGGGACCCCTCAAGGGATGTTGACTCCCCATTTAGGCTGGATCCTGGGGAGTCGGACAGCCCTCTCACAATCCAGGACTGCTGGCTCCCAACCGCTCGCCTTCCTGCCTGATTGCCCCTAACTGCTTCTGCCTGCCAGCCTGATCACCCCCTAACCACTCCCCTGCCAGCCTAATTGATGCCTAACTGCTCCCCTGCTGGCCTGGTCACTCCTAATTATTCTCCCTTGCCACCCTGGTCACCCCTAACTGCCCTCCCCTGCCGGCCATCTTGTGTCCACATGGGGGCGGCCATGTTGTGTGTTGGAGTGATGGTCAATTTGCATATCACTCTTTTATTATATAGGATCCTTTTTATTAAATGGTATTTATATTATAAAGCACTTTGTCTACCTGGCATTTATAACCACTATGCAAGTTTTGTGAGGTTAAAATTTTTATTCTTGTACAAGTTTGTTTGCATTATATCGTGTGAAGTGAATCTTGCAGGTAGTTTTTGTTGTTGCCTGTTTTACACTTAAGGACCAGGAATCACAGAAGGAAAATTACTTGCCCCAATTTTCCCCTGATTGCCTTTGTGGGGTGAGAAGAAAATGGAGTCTTCCTCCCTAGCTTTTCACCTCGGTTCTCAGGTAATAAATATTCTATCCACCGGACATAATTTCCAAGGTAACTCACGAAAGGTACACCATAAGCTTGCAAAATTTTCTTCCCCACATAAACATGTTGTCACATATATGCAGTTGTGACCATGTCCTTATTGCTTCTGTCATCACCATCAGCTTCTCATCTCTGAAACCTATGATTTTGAGCCCTCCTCCTATTTCTGGTCACTCATAAGAAACTAGAACCAGCCAAGGCTGGAGGAACTGTTAGCATTATATGGTAGAGAAATTCTTTTCTCTTTAAAACTAAGAATAAGTTAAAATAGTTTAAATGTGGGCTATTCTTCATAGCATTTTTTAGAAGTTAGGCTCATTTCTTTTAAGCTGACGTCAGCTCTAGATAACACCATAAATTGCAGTGGATCCTGCTTAGAGAATATTCTGATGCCTGACTCTTTCTTGGGAATATTTAATGGGAAGCTAATGCCGGTTGATATACATTATCACGTTTCCTAACACTAATTCATTCCTCACCAGGTGGTGCTACTACTGAAGGTGGATAGGTTAAGAATTTACCATAGCTGAGTTTTCCTTACTGTTTTGTCACCATGGATTTGAAAATTGTGCTTACTTTAATCTACTTTCAGAAAGAATTTAAATAAATCACATGCTATTGGGATATAAATTAATCCCAATGGAATGTAAATTCATAAATGGTGATTTCATGTAAACACTACTGGTCAACCCATTGAGGGTAATTAGGTGGGGTAGAAAGCACTCTGAGTGCCTCTTAATGGAGTTGAGATATCATTGGCTCCTTTGGCACAAAGATGCTGACTCATGTTTGTTAGAAAATAGTTGCAGTTTGCAATGCTAGTGTTAGGGGATTTAACTCGCATCAGAAGGAAGAACTACTATGGCAAGTTCAGGGAAGACATTAGCGGTCTATTCTGAAAGAGTGTGTTCTACTCTGCCTTTTTAAAGATAAATGGGTGTATGTACAAGCACTGTTAGCTCACGTGCTATGCTCTTAGTTCCTGTTTGAGGCATAGATCTCCCAACAGGCCGTGCTGATGGGGGTCCATTTAACTGTAGATTTCACTTTGCTAGAAACCAGTTACTTTATGTTGGAGGTTCCAAAGACATGCAAATGAGAAATTAAGACATGCACTAGCCTTTTTACAACAGCAAAAGTATTTTGTTAAATTAGTATGTGTAATTGAGATATGTCCCTTATGATTTAGACTTTAACCAAAATATAAGAACTTACAAAACTCGTGGCAGTCCTGGCTGATGCTGTTAAACTTATAAGGGAAGGTGTTAAGACTATAACCTATCTCTGGTTAGACTCCAGCACTTTGTTTCCTTGATTCATTTTAGCGGCAAGAATCTTAAGGGAATCCAGAGAGTAAAGTAACACAGGACAGTCTGTATTAAATAAACCCCATTTTGTACCTGGTCAAACAAGTAAGCGTCCAGGTTAGAAGATTTGCTTCAGACCACACACATGAGGGTCAAAGTTGAGCACAAGTCTCTGTTTATACACTATTGAGGGCCAGTGGTCCCTTTTCTTGGTGTCCACGGTGTGTTGACATACAGGCAGCCTCAGGACTCAGACCCACTTCTGAACTGCAGGGAAGAGCTAGCATTCTGTGGATGGCCTCAAAAGCATATGGCAAACCCATATCCATATTCAGTCCTACACACTATTCATTCTCTAATTCTCGAGAATAGTTTTATTTTGCAGGTAGTATGACATTAGTAGAGCGATTTTCCAAAAAAAGGAGCTGGGGAATCTTTAAAGAAATATTGGCTTTGAGGAGCTTTAGAATTTGAAGGTATTGTCAGCTTTATAGTCTGAAAATATGTTTTACCTTATAAAAAAGAGTTTAGTTTCGAACAGGCTAGGATGGCCCCTGATTTGAATTTCTAGAGGACACGGCTGGTTCTTGTTGAAAGGTTTGTTTCTGGAGGTGTGTCAGGGTGAAGAGAGGGAGGTGTGGTCCAGGAGGAAGGCATCCCTAGAGGTTTCCTTTCCTGATTCACTTTTTCCCAGCTTGTACTAAATTCAGATTTTGTTCTTTCTTCTTCTTAATGAACTTGTCTGCCTACTTTCCATCCTGGAAGTTATTTCCTTTGTGCCCACATCGCTACTGCAGAGCATTAACCCTGACAATGAAAGCAAGGCTAGTGGCTGGCTGGCTGCTGAATGACAGTAATGCATGTGTTGCATGTCACCCCTTTTTGCTGCTGCATTCAGATGAGTAATGGTCGAGACCATTTGCAGATGGGTGGGAAACTAGAGTGAAGGGTAGTTCTACTTACTGCAGATTTCCCAAACTGTCAGAGCCCCAGTAAAACTATAGTGGCTGTCTTTAACATAATATTGCTTAAATTTTAATGTGTTAGCATACATGAGCCCAAGGCCCTGACTAGGTTTAGAGGAAGACTACTTATTTTTCGGTGGTGTAGTCACCGAGGCAGATGCAAGTGTCTCTGCCCCAGGTATTAGAGCGGTGGCAGCGACCTCACAGTCTGTGTCTGTCTGTCTTTGCTGTTGCAGAACCCTGCCATCCCAATGCAGAAGCTGCAGGACATCCAGAGAGCAATGGAGCTGTTGTCGGCGTGCCAGGGCCCCACCAGGAACATCGGTGAGGCTGCCAAACACAGATACCAGTTTTGGGACACACAGCCGGTACCCAAACTAAGTAAGCTTCCTGCTTTTCTCCTCCGGCCTTCCCCAGAACAAAGCTGGTTAACAACAATCAGAAAACACAAAAGAAGCTTTATTTTGTTTATATAACTTGTTTCATACCACAGGTTAGAAATTTATACAAAAGTAATACTTTTCATCTTAAAGTTAATATCCATCACCACACACGGTTACAGAATGGTTTTTGTAATGAGAACTTTTAAGATTTATTCTCTTAGCAAACTTTCAAATATGTAATATGTTATGAATTATAGTCACCATGCTATACATTAAAGGACTTATTTATCTTATAACTGAAAGTTGGTTCCTTTTGACCCCCTTTACCCACTTCTCCACCCTCCATCTCCTGCCTCTGACAACCACCAATCTCTTTTCTGTATCCATGAGTTCGTTTTGGTTTTCTATACTTTTTAAAATTTTATTTTATTGTTTAAAGTATTACATATAGTAGTGCATATGTCTTCTTTTCCCCCTCATTGACCTTCCTCCAGCCTTCCCTATCCCCTGTCATCCCCCCCTCCCAGTGTCTTGTGTCCATTGATTATGCTTATATGCATGCATACAAGTCCTTCCATTTTCCTGTTTTCTTAGATTCCACATATAAGTGAGATTATATGGTAATTTGTCTTTCTCTGTCTGACTTTTTTCACTTAGCATAATACCTTCAAGGTCCATCCATGTTGTCCAAATGGCATGATTTCCTTTCTTTATGGTTGAATTATATTTAGCAGATATTTGTTGCGTGTTTGTTATTAAATGTCAGGCACTGGGTACTTAGTGGCGTGAAAGTAGGGTAAGTGGTACCCAAGTAGGGGTTGGAGGGAGGATATGCTCCAGGTAGGAAAAAGCTTTAGTCAGGGAAGGATGCTGTGAGAAAGCTATGTGTAAACTTAATATCTGAAAGAATTTTTTAAGTGGCCAGCCAAGTGAAGAGCATGGCAAGGGCCTTGCAAGGGCTCTGAGCTGGGGGCAGCATGAGGGCAGGCAGTGTGGCTAAGGCTGGGAGCTGGGCCAGGTGGGAGTCTCAGGGTGGCCAGGCAGGCAGTGACATGGTTGGAGCCTGGGTTTTATCCCAGCCACACTGGGAAGCTACAGGGAAGAAATTGGAAAAGGGCACCTTTGTGGAAATTGCTAAGACGTTGATGACTTGAACTGCATTGCCAGCAATCCAGGTGGAGAGACATTAAATTAATTTTAGATTTTGCTGGAAGTGGTCAGAAGTCTCTGCAGCCTTCTCCCCTTACTCTGTTCCTTTTCCCCTTTCCCCCAGTTACTTGAAGTGCAGAATAAAAGTCTGTCATCAAATCTCTGTTATCTCCCATGGTGCTGTACAATTAATCTGTAATCTCCAGGTCAAGACTGAGAAATCGCCATCATTTCATTGTACACTTTGTCATTGTATAACAGGGGACTTTTTATTTTATTTTTTAAAATATGTTTTTATTGATTTTTTTGCAGAGAGGAAGAGAGATGGATGAGAGAGAATCATCGATCAGCTGCCTCCTGCACACCCCTACTGCACACCCGAACTAGAATCGAACCCAGGACCTTTCAGTCCGCAAGCTGACACTCTATCCACTGAGCCAAACTGGTTTTGGCAGGGGACTTTTTCTTTTAGTGGTGAAACAGCTGTTATTCTCCACCACTACCTAGCCACCCCTTTTTACTCTAGAAGTAGCTGAAATAATAGTCCATTAATAATTATATTAGCCTAAGGGCCCAAAATATGATTTTGTTTTATGTAACAGACCATTTTGGATCGTCAGAATGCTTTGTAACTGAATATTCTCTCTTTTTGTCTTTTATCCTCTCCTCTTCAGATGAAGTGATAACATCTCATGGTGCAATCGAAGCAGATAAAGACAATGTGCGTCAAGAACCGTACTCCTTGCCACAGGGCTTTATGTGGGACACTTTAGATTTGGGTAATGCTGAAGTGGTGAGTAAAGCTCTTAAATTCAGCACTTGTGTTCATGCGGATTGCTTCTGGGTGGGTTCCGAGCACCATAAACCCACACCTGTTTGGTCTTGCAGCTCAAGGAGTTATATACCTTATTAAATGAGAATTACGTGGAGGACGATGACAACATGTTCCGGTTTGACTATTCGCCTGAGTTCCTGCTGTGGTGAGTCTTGCTGGTCTCCCTGGCTGTGGTGGGGCGCTGGGATGGCGGTCTCTGTCCATCCCTGTATTCTTGGACACTCACTGGCGCCTGTTTTCCTTGCCTACGTTGACTTCAGGGCTCTGCGTCCCCCTGGCTGGCTTCTTCAGTGGCACTGTGGAGTCAGAGTGTCTTCGAACAAAAAACTGGTAGGGTTCATAAGTGCCATCCCAGCAAACATTCGGATTTATGACAGGTACATATGAAAGCTTGCCCATGTCAGTTTTGATGTGTTGCTTTTTCAAGGATTGCAATTATAAGAGACTTTTAAAAGTGACTTAATCCAGGCTATTGATAGAGGTGGAGATTGTGTGTATATGTGTGTGTGTGGGGGGAGGGAGGGGGGGGAGGCAGGGAGAGGCAGGAGTATGTGGGAACCCTGCACATTCTGCTCAGTTTTGAACTTAAAACTGCTCTAGAAAATAAAGTCTATTAATTTTTTTAAACAATAGTCTGTGAACAACAAAAAGGACAACTCTTCTTTTTCTCCCTCTGCCGCTCAGTCTCATACATGCACACACACAGATATGTTTTGTGTACATATATGAATATACATGTCCATGTGTATATTTATGTAGTGGAATAAATAAAGCTATAAATAGGTATTTTAGTTTTATTTCTGGGGAAATTCCTTTAGAAAGTTATAGGAGAGGTTTTTTTAAAGTTTTTTTAATAGGATAAGTGTGTATTGCATTTATGCTCTGGGTCTTTAGTGAAGAAAGTCAAAGACCCAACTCTAGAAAGTCAAAAATCTAGTGCATAATAGATGGTTTTACCTTTCAATACAATGGGTTGTTTATTGCTAAAAAACATTTGCTCCCAAGGAATTCTGTGTGCTGAATGAAATGCCTGCATACCAGCATACCCGGGAATGGGTTTTGCAGCTCTAGAAGGTTTAGTGTAGCACCTTTTAGGGTCCTGGGGATTGCATTATATCCAGAGCAACATCTTATCAGATTCTGCGTGAGGTGACCAGTGATGCCATAATTGTATTATACACATTACAGGAAAAACACATAGAGAAACTTTGAGGCACCTCAGGTCCAGTTTCTAAACCAAGAACTTATAAAAGACCAAAGTTCTAAAATGTATTTAGAATAAGAGGTTTGCATTTCTGTAGTCTAGAGTTATAAAGTAGGGGCATATGGGAAATAGTCTATGGACCTGAATTTGTGAAATGTCTAGAGGAAAGAATATATTTCTTTAATATTATATATAAGGAGGTCTTTCAGTTTTTATTCTTTGAAATTTTATGGGTGTTGTCTTATTTTAATAAAAACATGTTCATCTTATGTTTGCTCTGATTTTCTTTATTTCTTAGTGTGAAGAAGATGGTCGAAATCAACTTTCTTTGTGTTCATAAAAAATTGAGATCAAAACGGGTAGCCCCAGTGTTAATTCGAGAAATAACTAGGAGGGTGAATCTGGAAGGGATTTTCCAGGCCGTTTATACTGCTGGTGTGGTTCTTCCGAAGCCAGTGGCCACTTGCAGGTAATACCCTTACCTTGCATCTTGCCTGTATCTAAGCATTGAGCCTTTCCACCCTGTTGCTAGAAGTGTTATTCTCACTTGGGGTGAGTTTATAGCTCAGGGATTTTGGCTAACCCATGATTATGTAGTTGGTTGATAGCAAAAATGGAAATTGGAAGCAAGAACCACTTAAATCCAGTCTTCTTTCTAATTGCCATACAGCTACTTGTATGCCAGTGATCTGGAGCTGCATTTCAGGGTCTCTTCCATTTGAAAGACTGGAAGGTCTGATCTGGTTGAGGCACCTCTCATGTATCCTGGGATTGCATTTATATACAGAACAACATCTTATCAGATTCTGCATGTGGGTGACCCAGTTATGCCATTATGTGTTTTCTCTATGTGTTTTTCCTGTAATTTTATACATTACAGGAAAAACACATAGAGAAACCCCGGGTATCGTGATGTGGAAATATCCAGGGTGGTACCACTTCCTTTTCTCCTCTAACACTCAGTCTTACACCATGCTCTGCAGTGCTATTCCAAATGTCTGATAAAAAAGCCTATGACTCAGTCTGCTCTTATCAAGCTTTCAGAGGTTAATCCAGGGAAAAAACTGAGTGTCGGATTGTTACTTGACTAACCTGTTTCTGAAGAATCAGTATCTCTTCCCTCCACTATTTTCATTTATTCAAATAAAATAAAACTTCAGGTAAACATAAAAAAGTAAGCCATAAAATTACTTTGCCCTATGAAATTATTGATAAGTAAATAGGATAAATAAGACTTCACAGGTGCATATTGGAGCTCTTGTGGCACAATCAGGTACCGCTTGGTACTTACAGATATACTAGAGGCCTAGTGCACAAAATTCGTGCTTGGGGCAAGGGGGTATCCCTCAGCCCAGCATGCACCCTCTCCAATCTGGAACCCTCAAGGGATGTCTGACTGCCCGTCTGACATTGGACATCCCTCTCACAATCCAGGACTGCTGGCTCCCAACTGCTCGCTTGCCTGCCTTTCTGATTGCCCCTAACCACTTTTGCCTGCCAGCCTGATCACCCCCTAACTACTCCCCTGTCAACCTGATTAATGTCTAACTGCTCCCCTGCCAGCCTGTTTGCTTCCAACTTCCCTCCTCTGCCAGCCTGGTCACCCCTAACTGCCCTCCCCTGAAGGCTTGATTGCCCCCAACTGCCCTCCCTTGCAGGCCTGGTCTCTCTCTAACTGCCCTCCCTTGCAGGCCTGGTGCCTCCCAACTTCCCTCTCCTGCTGGCCATCTTGTATCCACATGAGGGCAGGATCGTTGACCACAGGAGGGCAGCCATCTTGTGTGTTGGAGTGATGGTCAATCTGCATATTACTCTTTTATTAGATAGGATGTTAATACAAATCAACCCAATACCTAAACTGGGATCACGTAAGAAATTCAAGCTAGTTTCTCGAAAAGTTGTTTTCTTGTCCTGCTTGGTGTGGCTCAATTGGTTGGGTTTTGTCCTGTGCACCAAACGTCGCCAGTTTGATTCCTAGATGGAGCACGTGCCCAAGTTGCAGGTTTGGTCCCCCATCAGCGTGTGTGCGGGAGACAACTGATCAATGCTTCTCTCTGTCACCCTCCCTCTTCTTCCCTCTCTGAAACCAACTTTTAAAAAAAAGGAGGAAAAAAGTTGTTTTATTGGTTGTTAGATAAATATGAAGGCTCTACTAATTTAGGGCGAATATTTTCAAGTTTTTAAACTTTTGGGTTGCTTTCTATAGAATCAGGGATGGTTTTGAAATACTTACAAACTAGTCATTTTTTAAAAATGTATTTTATTGATTTTTTACAGAGAGGAAGGGAGAGGGATAGAGCGTTAGAAATATCGCTGAGAGAGAAACATCGATCAGCTGCCTCCTGCACACACCCTCTCCTTCGTTCACCCCTATCCCCTACTGGGTATGTGCCCGCAACCAAGGTCGTGCCCTTGACCGGAATCGAACTGGGACTCTTCAGTCTGCAGACTGTTGCTCTATCCACTGAGCCAAACCAGTCAGGGCCAAACTGGTCATTATTAATAAGACTGTTACAATTTTAAGATACCTCTATAGTGAAAGAGAGGAAAGCTCACAAACTACAGAGGAACATAACTAGGGATGCAGGACATACTGCGGAGGTAAAAAATGAGTGATAAAATAATTGCATTGGAAGAGGGACCACATCCAGCATTGTGCCAGGCATAACATAAGTATTCATTAAAATGTTCTACCACAGCTGAGCTAGACAGAGTAAAAATTTGGAGAGTCAGAAATCAGTCCGACTTTCAAACTTTATTGTATTCCAGATACTGGCATCGATCACTAAACCCCAGAAAATTGGTAGAAGTGAAATTTTCTCACTTGAGTAGAAATATGACTTTACAGAGAACAATGAAGTTGTACAGACTTCCAGATGTAAGTAAAATCAATTTGCAGTTTTTTAAGATTGTAACGACTGAAACATTCAATGTAGAAAGGAATTACTTGCAGGGGTCTAAAAAACTGACTTATGTATCTGAAGATATGAATAGGTAGCTAAAAGGTCTGCATAGAATTCAGGGGAAAGGAAAAATAAGAGAGTTCATTTGGAAATACCAATTTTTTTTTTTTAAGGCTAAGTTCTTCAGTTTTTGGTTGGATGGAATTAAACTCAAGACATAAGTTTTGAAATTTTGAGTATTTATGGTTTGTTAAGTAAAAGGGAAGAAAAGTTTCAGGCTTCTGATGAAATCTTAACGTAATATAACTAAGGTATAAGGTTAAAAGGAGAGATCTGGGGGAGGAAATAATGTCTTATAAATAAATTATCTTTTTAAACTAGCAAAGTCCCAAAATGAAAAATTGTCTGTATTTTAATAGGGGAAATGTATTTGTTCTTATTTAAACTTTTTGTTTTAATTTCATCCATCTCCTTAACACTCTTCCCTTTGGGAAACATCAGCTTATTTCTATATCTAAACTGTTTTGTTTAATTTATTCATTTGTTATTGGCTTTCTTTTTAGATTTCACATATAAGTGAAATCATAAGGTATTTGTCTTTCTCTAACTATTCCACTTATCATACTTTCTAGATCCATCCATGTGGTTGCAAATCACAATATTTCATTCTTTTTTATTGCTAAGTAATATTCTGTAAAAATTTAAATGTTTACCATCTTGGCTTGGATGGTGTATTAGTTATCTATTGCTGTGTAACAAATGACTATAAATGTAGCAGCTTAAAACAATACACTTACTGTCTCCTAGTTCTGTGGGTCAGGAATGAAGGCACAGCTAGCTGAAGCCTCTGCTTCAGGCTCTCTCATGAAGCTGCCACCAAGGTGTCAGCCAGGTCTCACCTGGAAACCTACAGGGATGGATCCATGTCCACATGGCTGTTGTAAGGCTTGAGTTCCTTACATGCAGCTGGACGAGGGCTTGGTTCCTTGCTGACTGTCCACCCTAGCCGCCATCCGTTCTTTGCCGCCTGGGATTCTCCCCACGAGGACTTACAACATGGCAGCTTGTTCATCCAAACCAGTGAGCAGAGCGTCCATAGAGACTCTCCTAGCAGATGGACATTAGAACCTTACTCCCAATTCACAAAAGTGACATCCAGTCACCATCACTACGTTTCATTGGTTAGACACCAGTCACAGGTCCACCCGCACTTGAGAGGAGTGGATCCCAAGGGTGTGAGTACCAGAAGGCCATCTAGAATCTCTCTGCCACAAAGGGGGTCTTTTGTTTGAAGTTTGATTTCTTCAGAGTTACTCTGTTTTGGGGGTATTTACAAAGCAACTTAGTTGATATTTTAACTTGGTTGAGGGAGTCATGTAGAATATATTAATAGTCATGTTCCTCTAGAACTGTGGCCACTCTGAATGTAGCACACTCCAGTTCTTTTTGCCTTTTGGCCAGTTGTGTTTGCCAAATGCAGGTCATCAGTGGTTGCAGAATTGATGTCTTTTTTCTGATAATAGACTAGAATCACCTAATGTCTGATTTTAGGCAGAATTTATTTATTATTATTTTTTTTTTAAATATATTTTATTGATTTTTTACAGAGAGGAAGAGAGAGGAATAGAGAGCTAGAAACATCGATGAGAGAGAATCATCGATCAGCTGCCTCTTGCACACCCCCTACTGGGGATGTGTCCGCAACCAAGGCACATGCCCTTGACCGGAATCGAACCCGGGACTTTTCAGTCCGCAGACTGACGCTCTGCCACTGAGCCAAACCGGTTTCGGCTGATTTTAGGCAGAATTTAATTAGGAGAGAAGTGGAGGTGAAGGTTAGTAGGTGTTAGAAGTGTCAGGGTCATCATTCTTGGTTTTCATGACCTGGCAGCGGGATCAGAAGCATGTTCTTCTCTCTGTCTTAGCTGTTGTTACGGAAGTGGAGCTTGAACTAATGAGCTCACTGCCTCTCTGAGAAGGCTAGCAGGGAGGGGCAGTGTAGATCAGGACAGATGGAAATAAAAAACGCAGTGACATGAAGGAGGGCGCACACAACCTGGGCAGGAAGGAGCAGGCCTCTCAAGCTACCGGGCAAAAAGGAAATGAAGAATTAGGAAGATGTTCAGAGAAGTCCCACTGTTATCATGACAATCAATATTTATTGATTCTTTTGAAACTAGAAACAGTTTATGGAAATGGCCAAAACCCAGAGCAACTGAGGGGCATGGTCACAGGGGCACAGATGGCAGTGAGAAAAAAGAGCACCACACCCAGCTGAGATGAAACACGCCTTCTGTAGTCATGTTCATTCTCAACATCCCCCTTGCCAGTTGTTTACTGCTTTGCTACCTGTGAGTTGAATTTAAAACTTGAAGCATGCCTGTTTTTCTCACTAGAGGCTAATGCTCTTCTACTTTGGTTTCCCCAGATTTCAGCTTGTTGATTAAGGCACTCTAGTTTGTATCTACGGAAAGCAGCCACTTACATGTAGGTTGCCCAAAATGGAATGAAGAATAAGGAGTTTTAGTATCTATCATGGGCTTATTCAGGATGATTAGAATTTGAGCTGCTAACAGTGTTTTGACTTGAATTTGTCCATTAGCCTTTATATTTTTGAACAAGAATCAATCAACACAAATAATAGTTGGTAAAAGTCACTGTTAGGAATTGGTTTTTATTTCCCCAATAAACTAAAGTTTATAAAGTGTTCTCACATATGTTATTCAGTATATTAGAGGCCCGGTGAATGAAATTCGTGCACTGCAGAAGGGTGTCCCTCACAGCCCAGGACCCCTCAGGGATGTCCATCTGCCAGCTTAGGCCTGTAGTCAGACATCCTTCTCGCAGTCCAGGACCCCTCACTCCTTACTGCCTGCCTGCAGCAGAGGCAGGTGGGAGAGGCTCTTGCCAGCTGTGAGCCAGGCTTCTGGCTGAGCGGTGCTCACCTTGTGGGAGTGCACTGACCACCAGGGGGCAGCTCCTACATTGAGCGTCTCCCCCACCCTCAACCCCATCCCACCCCACTCCCGTGGTCAGTGTGTGTCATAGAGTTCCACTGTTTGGTTGATTTGTATATTGGGGTTTTATTATATAGGATAGGATTCTTACAAAAACCTTTTGAAGTTGGTACTTCTTATCCCCATTTTACAGATGAAAAGACTGAGGCTTGTGAAGTTTGATACTTAGGGCATGTCATTAATAAGTGGTGGTTTTGGGATGCAGGCCCCAGACTTCCATTTTTTGCCTGTTAGATCTCTTTGCTTCTGCCATTAACTCTACCACACCTCTTGGGGGGCATCATTGCTCAATCCTACCAAATGTCTCTCTGTATAGATATTAGAGTGTAGGTTAAGAAAGGAAAGGATGATTGTCCAGGTCCAAACAGTTCTCATTGGCATGTTCCAATCATAGAGAAGGGAAGAAAGATAAAGAGTACATAAATGAGAAAAAAAGAGGGTAGAAGAGATGAAAGTATAGAATTTGGAAAATTGGAAGGTGCCAATTGCAGTCTCTTGAGTTAGAAGCTGGACAATGCAGCATACACCAGACCTCCTCCCTCATGGGCTCAGATGGATGCTGCCTCCACTAGCAAGCATGTCATTTAAGAATAGGTTTGTATTATTAAGCCTAAAGAGAACGACTTTGTTGAATGCAACTTTTGCTCTGTGGATGTCTTATTTTCTGATTCATTATTACTGTTTCTGCTAATGATGCTGCTTTATGTCTTTTCGTAGACTTCTGAATACAAGTTAACATTCATTGTGGCCAGCATCATGCTAGACATTGCGCTTCTGTAGACTCATTTATTTATTTAGAACAATCATAGGCAGGCAGGTCCCTTTCCCTGTTTTATAAAAGAGGACATGGAAATACTAGACTCATTTGCCCAGTTTAAAGTTAGGACAGAACTATCCAGGAGCCCATGCCATTAACTACTGCTAACTCAAATACTAAAGTTTTTCCATGAGTAATGCATTTCTCTACCCTTCAAGTGCTGGTTTGTTTTTAATTTGGTGTTGAGCATTTCCAAATAAAGTTGGATTCTTTTTGTTAGATTATTTAAAAACAGGTAAAGAACAGGATTCAGATTAATCTCCCAGCTTTCTGCTGTGTTGCAAGGACACACCTGTGAAGACATGTGAAGACACGCAAGATATTCTAGATTTAGTAGCAGTAGACAATTTTTTTTAATGTTTAGTATTCTACTGCTCCTTTTTTTAATCAAATAAATAACCATAATCACTGCTTACATCTCCACTCTGGAATCTTGCCTCTAAAACAGACATGCCTCATAGTTTGACATACAACACTGCTTCTGTTTTTTCATAGACTCTGAGCTTTATTTCCTTGTGTTCTTGTAAGCAAATGTTACACACATTTCATATACAGATTCCAATGAATAAATGCATATTAGTTGGACTGTGAAAAAGTAAGTCTGATTGAGATACAGAATTTGCTGATGAAATTTAAGATTTTCTCAGTTACTGGAAAATAGTTTTTGTGTTTTATTAAACACTCAGAAAACATTGCCACTTCACTCTTTCAGATTATCCCAAAGTTACCATTTTTATCTAATTTTTGTGTTCTCCCCATCTCTTCAGCTATAATTTGAGTGTTTCTGGTTTACATTTTAAATTTTATTTCATGCTTCTCTAGATATTTTTTTTTTGAAGAGTATGTAACTACACAATGTCAGAAAGAAGTAGCTTTAGGCCCTGAGATCCATAAGCCATTGTTGGTCAGCAAAAGTAAATATTCTCCAGTTTCTTAGGTCCTTTTATAGCTGAGTAGTCTATTCTCTTCTGCTTTACTGTTTGTGTGAAAACTTGGAAGTGCTTATAAATTGCTAAGTTTATATGCTTTTTCCTGACTATTTGCCCAGGCTTACTGTTTCACTGTGTTTCTCATCTACATCCTACTATCCAATTTTCCAACTTTCAGAGACTTGAGGTAGCAGTTCTGAAAGTGGTTGATA